TGTATCTACCCCCTTTGGCCCTCTACTGGGCATAGAGCCCAAAGAGGTCAAAGACAAAGAGAAGGTCCTATATATGTATAAATATTTATAGAAGCACTTTTTGCAGTAGCAAAAAAAAATTGCAACAGAATGTCTATCATTTGGGGAATGAAGGAACAAGCTTTGGTACATGAGTGTGATGGAATACTATTGCACCATAATATATGACGAATATGAAAGATTCAAAAAAGGGAAGGGAGAAGGAACCACACATTTATTAAGTACCTGTTAGGTACCAGGCACTTTGTTAAGCCATTTTATAAATATTCTCTCATCTGAAACTTGGGAAGACATGTATGAATCAATAGAAAGTGAAGCAAACAGAACCAAGGAAATAATTTCTATGATGACCACCGTGATGTAAATGGAAACAGCAGGGAAAGATTTCAAGATTCCGATCAATGAAATAACCAATCTTAATTCCTAAAGACTAACAAGGAAACTCTATGTCCGCAGAAAAGTGGTGGACTACAGGTGTGGAATGAGACATGTGTAGTCAGACATGGCGGGTATGTTGGTTGGTTTTTGCTTAACTGAACTTCTTTTCCATAGAAAAGGATTCTTTGGGGGTGACGAGGTTATTGAAAGGTACAGCAATTTTTTTAAAAGTTATCAATAAAATTTTATTTTCTTTAAAAAGCAGCAGGCAAACTGATAGGGTAGGGTGTTCAATGTGTTTGTCAAGTGACACCTCCTGTATGAAGTCTTCCCTAATTTCCACTGTGGGTCACAAGTTTCACTTTGGACCTCACATGGCATTCTGTCCTGCATCTAACATATTTATCACGTAATGTTTGTTTTTATAATAATATGTTTGTGTCTTATCCTCTTATTGGACTATGAGCTTTATGATGTTAGGAATGTTGTCTGACTTAGATTTTGAATCTCCTCAATGCCTGGCACAGGACATTGAACACAGTAGGTACTTAATAAATGCTTGATGAATGAATCACTGAATGAATGTCAAAGGCTGAGCAGCTGTGGTAGAGCTCTACCTGACTAGGATTAGGCCTCAGATTCCAAGCTGAGAGTGGGAGGCACCAGGTGTGTAGGGGGAGGGAAAGGAGATAGATGACAGATATTGGAAGGTATTGGAAGACAGAAATGGACAAGAATAGCAGCAGTCCTACAAGTTTTAGGTTGAGAAATAGGGCTATAAGTTGGTCGCAGCAAAGTGAGGGGCTGGGGGATGGGGCAGAGGGCTATTGCCAATCAGACATTGAACCATCAAAGATAACACAGAGCTTTAAGAGTTAGAGTTAGATGAGGGTTGTGATGGAGGCAGCTCACACTGGCTGGTGAGAGCCAATTGTTAAATTTTCAGCATGAGAAATTATACCTTGGAAACTGACAAATGTTACAAATCAGGGCTTGATTTATTGTTTTATTGATTGTATAGTATTAAGAAAGTGATGAAGAAAATTTTAAGAATGCAGATTAAACTTAAAAGTGTATAGGGAACGCATTTTTTTTTCAGAGAGCCAGATGTTAAACATTGGAAGGTATTTTAAAGATCCTCTAATATACCCCATAATTTTACAGAATTGAATTTTTGAATTCCAAAGCAATGAAGGGAATTACCCAAGGTAACACAGGGAATAAATGACAGTCAAGATTTGTCTAAGACCAGATTTGAACTCAGTATGAGGAGTATGACATCAGGCCCAATGCTCTGTACACTATGGCGCCACCTAGCTGCCCTCCATCATGCCTACCAGACTCAAAATCTATGTAGCTCCCTGACTCAGTTGGTTTGAGCATGATAGTAATATTTGAATAATACAAGCAAAGCAACAGCAGTTATGTAAAAAATACTACTGTGACAAAACTAATTTAGTTTATTGTATTGAGAGGTGGTAAGTGGTGTGATGTAATGAGTGGTAAGAACACTGAATGTAGAGTTAGGTGAGTGACTCTGAGAAAGTCCTCTGTTTACCTCACTTTCATCATCTGTCAAATGAGCTAGAGAAGGAAATGGCAAACGACTCCAATATCTTTGCCAAGAAAACCCCAAATGGGGTCACTGAAAAACAACTCAACAACAAGCCTCATATTTGAAATGAATGTCTCCCAGGCATCTCAAACCCAACATGTCCAAAACAGGATTCATCTTGCCTCCAAACTCACCCCTATTTCTGTGGAGGACACCGTCATCCTTCTAGTTACCCAATTACATAGAACTGATGCATTCCTCAGACTCCTCACTCTCTCACTTACCTCCCATATCCACTAAGTTATCCAAATCTTGTCTTTTCTACATTCATCCCATTCATCCCCTTAAAGGGGTCATCCTTTGACTCACTTCTTAAAGGGGCCTATTCACTGAAAGGGCGTTGCCTCACTCAAAGTGAGAACCTAGAAAAACCTTAGCTTAAAAGGGCCAGAGTCTCCCACTAGATTCTGGGCTGTCTCCAGTCAGTCTGATCGATATCTGGCCACTGGACCCAGATGGCTCTGGAGGAGAAAATGAGGCTGGTGACTTTGCACAGCCCTTCCTCATTCAAATCAAAGTCAATTGCAAGTCACGTCATCATCTCCCTGATGTCATGGTCCTCTTCAAGAATGAAAGAAACCACACAATCCCTTCTCACCACTCATACAGCCAAGCCCTCATCATCTCTCACCTAGACTATCACGAAGGCCTCCCGCTTGGTCTCCCATACTCAAACCTCTCTTCACTCCAATACGTCCTCTCCACCTCTACCAAAGTTACCTTCCTAAAGTGCTTTATACCCCAAAGAAGACACGGTTGGGTGATATTACCCAACATTCAACAAAATCCAATGGTTCCTATTACCTCTGGGATTTTTGTGTATGTATATATACATATTGATATTTCTATATTTTATGTGTGTAACACCAACTTCAGTATGCATACATACATATATATGTAAATATACATGCATACATATATACATATACACACTTTTCTATTTGACATTTAAAGTCTTTCAGAACCTAGTTCCAATGTACCCTCCCAGCCTTATTTCACATCACACCTATCTATACTCTTTAGTCCAGTCAAACTGGTCTTCCTGCTCTTCCTCACACCCAACACTCCATCTCCTCTACCCGATACTTTTCATTCAAAATGTTTTTTCATTCATTCATTCATTCATTCATTCATTCATTCATTCATTCATCCCACGTCTTTGTACTAGCTGTCCCCAGTGCCTGGAATGCTCTCCCTCCTCATAGGTGTGTATGTACGTATGTATTATACACACATAGTTTGGGGTTTCAAAGATGGTTTGGTCATTATTTTCCATTAGCCAGAGGATACAGATTATCTGGGCAGCATCATTCCAATTCCACAGCAGACCTGGCCAGTTTATTCCATTCACTTTCTACTGATCTCAAAGCACATCCATCCAGGCAGTCCAGGATAGAGAGTGTTTCTAGGTTCCCACCAATGTACCTCTTGGTTATCAAGTCTCTCCTGAGCAGCAGAAGTTGGAATGGCCCCCTCTCAGCCTACAAAGACTTTCATTCTGATCAGATACCAGCCCTTGCCAGAAGATAAAAATGCTACCAACACAGGAAACTTCCTAGAGTAATTTGCTATAAACTTACGTTAGAATTTAATACAAGACAAATCTGTCTTGGGCCTCATCCATGGGAGTTTAGTGTCAGTACCCAAAGGTCCAGTAATCCCCACTCTTGCCTGCCCCCTCCAAAAAAACCCAACCCCATTGCTACTATTGTATCACACAATCACAGAAACATCTCAGAGTTGGAAGGACTTTCAGCAGCCATCTGGTTCAACCCATACCAGACCAAGAATTCCCTCTATACCATAAGAGTCAAGCGGTTATCTGACCTTTCTCTGAAGACCTCCAGGGAGGGGGGAGCCCACTTAATTCTGGAGGCAGCCCACTCTGCTCTTGGTGAGCCCCTTTTTTTTCTAGAGGCAGTCCTAAATCGATCTCTTTAAAATATCCACTCTCTGTTCCTACTTCTGCCCTCTGGGGCCACAGAGAACAAAATGAATCCCTCTTCCACAGGACGATCCTTCAAATACCTGAGGATAGCTATAATTCCTCTCTCCTTTCCTCCTCTCCCCAAGTTTTCTCTTCACAATTCTAAACAACCCTAGTTCCTTACATTTCTGCTCATACAGCATGAATCCAAGGCCCTGCATCTTATCCATGGCCTTCCTAGACCTGAATACTGAACACAGTATTCCAGATGTGGTCTGAACAGGTCGTAGTCAAAGGAGCACTAAGACCATCCTAGGGCTGGATGCTATACCTCTGCTAATAAAAAACCTTAAGATGGCAACCATTTTCTTGGCAGCCATATCATACTCAGCTTGCAGTCCCCAGATCTTTTTCAGTCAAACTGCTATCTAATCCTTGCCCTCCATATGCACCTTGTACTTATGAACTTGATTTTTTTGAACCCAGGAGTTAAGGCTTTGCATTAGTCATTGAATTTCAAATATAAATTATTTTATTCAACCCAGTGTTCTAGACTCAGGAGCTTTTGAATCCTGACTTTGTCACCCAGGGCTTGAAGTCATCTATACATCTGATGATCATGCCATATGTCTTTATCCAAGGAAAGGACAAAAGTGTTAACCATTAGGGCCAAGCATAAGTCCTTGGGGCATTCCACTGGAGACCTTTCAAGTTGACCTCTTGGTTCTAGTTTACCACAATTTATAAATTAAGTATAGAACAAGAAATTGGGCTCTGGAATCCTCAAAAAATGATTTCAAAGAAGCTGTTCTCAGGCCCATAGGGAGGTTACAAATTCCCTCACATCCTTTTGGGTCAAATTCAGGGAGAGTGTGGTAGGTATGGTGGGTATGAGAGAAGGCACAGAGAAACCAACTTACAAAAGGCATGTGACTTAGAAGGATTCCCTAATGAAAGAAGACTGTCCCAGCAGAGAGTAAGGACCATACCAATGGCTTCAACAGTTTAGAATGGAAATAGATGGGAGGAAAGGATGCCTACCTGGACTTCCCGTGTATGGTAGGCGATGATCAAACCCAGAAGGATGATGGTGGACAGACTGATAAGGCATTTCAGGGCCAAAGAAAACATGGAATCCTGAAAGAGAAAAATGAAAGAGAGAATTAGAAGATGAGAGGAGCAGGGACAGGGTGGAAGAAACAATCTTATGTTACTCCGGGATATGAGGGGAAGGACTGACTGTATACCAGGTAGGTGCCCAGAGGGGTGTGATATTTCAGGAGGCTCTAAGAGTAGGGATGACCATGGAACCTTTGGAAATGGGTTAGTACTTCCTAAAACCTGCTTTCATAAGAACTTAGAATTAGAATCAAAAGGGATCTTACAGGCCATTGAATCCAACTCTATTTTTACAGATGAGGAAACTGAAGCATAGAGAGGCTAAATAACTTAGCCAAGGTCACACAGGTAGCAAGTAGAAGACAGGATTTGAACTCACATCCCCCAAACCCAATTGCCATTATATCATACTCTTTTCACTTCTGGCCTATGGCTCAAAGAAAGGACTAGTGAGTAAGAAGAGGGGAACAGAATAGGGAAGATATGGTAGGCAACAAAAGTGGAATTCTACAGCCAAAAACCAGAGCCCATTTGAAGGTGGAAGTTGGATGGTGCCTCCTTAGCAGCATTCTGGCCTGCACTCCTTTGCTGTGGTTCTACCTTCTACATCCCCTGAAGAGGAGGTGGGAGACAGCTAGGTGGGGCAGTGGATAGAACTCCAGCCTTGGAGTTAGGAGGACCTGAGTTCAAATCTGGCCTCAGACACTTGATACTTACTAGCTGTGTGACCCTAGGCAAGTCACTTAACCTCATTGCCTAGCCAAAAAGCAAAAAAAAAAAAAAAGAGGAGGTGGGGAGTATCCCCTGTCCACTGGGACACCAAAATAAAATTTTGCCCTTTCACAAAGTCATTAAATTCATTAAGGCAGTTAGGTGGTTAAGTAGAGTGTTGGATTTGGAGTAAGGAAAACCTGAGTTTACGTCCTGTCTCAGATACTTACCAGTTATCCGACTCTGGGCAAATCACTTAACCTCTCTCAGCTTCAGTTTCCCCATCTGTAAAAATGAGGCTAATAATAATAACTACCTTGCAGGATTATTGTGAGGATAAAATGAGATATATGTAAAGCACTTTGCAAATTTTAAATTTCTATGTAATAATAAAAAATAGGGTTAATATAGTGTACTACTGTTAGCAAAGCACTTTACATATGTTAACACATTGTATTCAATGTATATAAATGCTAGCTTTTAAAGTACCTGCTATGTAGAGCACTTAGACCAGGACAAGGAAAATCCAATTCTTTCTCTCATAGTGCTTGCCCTCTAAGACTTGTACATCAAGAATAGAACATAAAATGAAATCTTCTCCAAGAATTCTACTTCTGTGTCCCATTAGGTCAGGGGGTTGTTGTCCTCTGTTCTCCCAGCTTCTAGATACTTCCCCTCTAAAGTTAACTTACTATTGCAGTCCATCCTCCACTCAGCAGTCAAGGTGATTTTTCTAAAGCATAGATTTGACTGAGATAGCCCTCTGCTCAAGGAGTTTCACTGGTTCCCTATTACTCTTAGGATCAAATGAAAAATTTATGCAGTTGGCATTCAAAGTTCTTCATAGTCTAGTCCCTTCCTATCTCTGCTTGGCTTATATGTTAGTCTCCTTGTTGAACACTTTAATCAGTTCTACCATCCTCCTTGGAGGTCCTTGAACATGACATCCTGACTCCTATCTCCCAGTCCCCCTTCACCTTTTAACTTCCTAGTTTTCTGTAAGATTCAGCTTAAATCCCACTTTCTGCAGAAGGGCTTTCCTGATCCAGCCCACAGCAGCCCTCCCCTCAACAGCTCATACCTTCCCAATGAGATTACCTTGCATTTGCCATCTGTCTTTGTCTCTGTCTCTGCCTCTGTCTTTCTGTCTCTGTCTCCCTCTCTCTCTCTGATTCTGTCTTTCTCTGTGTGTCTGACTTTATCTCTCTCTGACTCTGTCTCTGACTCTCTGTCTCTCTCTACACACATACATATATCTTGTCTGTACCTGATTATTCACATATTGTGTCATCTATTAGAATGCATTCTCCTTCAGGGGAGTAACTACTTTTTTGGCTTTCTTTGTATCCGTGCCTGGCATATAGTCAATGTTTAATAAAGGCTTTTTGAATCACTGACATATGACAGCCCTTCAATTACTTGTTGATTGATGGATTGGGGAGAGGCAAACACCAAATGGGGTCATGAAGAGTCAGACATGACTGAAATGACTGAATAACAACAATAATAACATTGTGGTATAGTGGAAAGAGTACTGGCTCTGGAGTCAGGAGACCTGGGTTCCAATCCCACCTCGGATGTTTATTACATGTGATCTTGGGCAAGACATTTTGCTTCCCTGGGCCTTGATTTCTTCTCTTTTTGGCAGTCAGTTAGCATTTATTAAGCCCTTACCTTTTGCCAAGCACTACGCCAAAGGCTTCTTCAGCTTCCTCGTATGTAAGAGGAGGGAGTTCATAGGTTGAAGTCCTTCTAGCTTTGGATCTGTGATCTATTTTGTATGTATCTATTTGCACCTATTCACTTTCCTACCATTAGAATGTAAGCTCCTTGAGGGCAAAGACTGTTTTTGCCCCTTTTTTATATCCCCAGTGCTTAGCATAGAGCCTGGCACATAGTAAGTGCTTAATATACTCTGGTTGACTATTGACCTCCACCAGAATGGAGTCTCTTAGGCATCTGTAGCTCTGGAAATGGGGAAATCTTCCCAATCCTGATGGAAGAGCACAAACCCCCTGTAGGCAAATAGAAACAAAACTGACATTTATTGAACACCTACTATGTGCAAGGGGTAGCTAGGTGGTTCTGTGGAGTCAGGAAGACCTGAGTTCAAATCAGAGCCCCAGACACTTACTAAGCTATGTGTCCCTGGGTAAGTCACTTAACCCTGTTTCCTCATCTATGAAATGAGCTGGGGAAGGAAATGGCAAATCCCTCCAGTATCTTTGCCAAGAAAACCCCAAATGAGATCACAGAGCGTCAGACACAACTGAACAACAACAACAATAACACTACATGCAAGGGGCTGAGCTAGGTGCTATAAGTGTGTGTGTGTGTGTGTGTATGTGTGTGTGTGTGTGTGTGTGAGAGAGAGAGAGAGAGAGAGAGGAGGGGCTGGGGGTAAGGAAGAAGAAGACCAATGTGAGAAAGCCACAATCCTGCCTTCAAGGATACTCTGCTCTGGAAGTGCTTCTGGGTGTCTAGCCACAATCCTCACTCCTTCTAGGAAAGCACCCCAAGAACCTGCGCCTCTGTAGAAGGCATCTGGAGTGAATGGGTGGTGGACCCTTTCAGGGCAGGGTCAGTGAAGGGAAGAAGAGCTCAGTCTACCCATAGGTGGTACTCCAATGGTCTAGAACAGCAGTTCTCAAACTTTTTGACCTCAGGATCATTTTAAACTCTTTAAAAAATTTTGAGGACTCTCCCAAAGAGCTTGTGTTTATGTGAATTATATCTTTCTATATTTACCATATTAGATATAGATATAGATATATAGATATCTTAGTATTATTATGAAATAGTTTTGACCTCATGGTCCCCTTGAAAGGGTCTCAGGTAATCTCAGGATTCTCCGGACCACACTCAGAGAATTGCTGATCTAGCAAATAGACACATCTTCTAAGGGGAATGAATTGAGGAATGATTCTGGAGATTTTAAGCTAGGAATGTCCATAATGTTCTTCTCATAGAAATCTGAATGAGCGAGTACTCTTTCCACTATACCACAATGTTATTGTTGTTGTTATTCAGTCATTTCAGTCATGTCTGACTCTTGATGACCCCATTTGGAGTTTGCCTCTCCTCAATCCATTAAATGCACTTTGTTTGTCTCTGCAGAAATCTTTAGATATGTGGCTCATATTGACCCCTTTTCCCACCATATCCTGAGCCCTTTGGGGGCAGAAATTGCCTGCAATTAGAACTCAAGACTATTTTGACCTCTTCAGAAGGCAGAGTAAAGAGAATGGAGACAGGAGTCATCATCTTGCCTTTTTGTCTACCCTTTTTTGTGTCAGATGCTATCCCCTCTTTTTCTGACTGTGACCAGAATTATCTTTCCACTTAAATGACTCTGGCCTGGTCAGAGACAGGACAGATATGCTGGGTCAGTGGAGTCTCTTGGAGCATTATCAAGCACTCTTCATGCCCTAGAGATCGTATTTTTGCCAGTAATCTTCATGGTATGCCAATAAAGACACACACACACAAGTCATTTTAAATAGGGATAAATTTTAAAATAAATAAAGTTGGATCAGGTCAAAGGACACTGGCTTACTAAGTTCCATGAGGGCTGGGACCACGTCTTATCTAAACCTTGACTCTGCCCTCCACTGAGCAGCAGAAACTCTACATACACACAGGGGCTATTTAATAAGTATTGTTGAAGGCTAAAAGATTGGAATAGAAAATTTTCTTATACATTAAAAATGGAAATAATTTTCTGTGCTTCTTGGCAGAGTCAAAACAAGAATTGTTTACAACTGGGGCATGTGGCAGAAATAGTGTTACAGGCTCAAGCATGGACTCAGTTGGGGAGGGGCAGAGACCTTGGGATCAGGTGCTTTAGGGGAAGGCTATTGCACAAAAGTGAAGGGGTAGGAAGAAGGGAACAGCAAGGAAAGAATTCACCCCAGCCCACCATCAAATAGCTTCGTATTTAAACCATTCTTGCTAACCAGGTGCTAAACTTGGTTATTCCTACAGCAGAAGAATGTTAAGTACTGTCCGTATCCTCTAAATTAGGTGCCCTAGGGAATAGCCCTAGTCATCCTGCCCAAGCTATGGCTCTGATTCTTAGTCTTTACTAGAGCTGGTCATCTATAGTTTTTTGATAACTAGGATTGATACAGGCCTAGTCAGTCTCTTGCTTAAGTATCATCTTCCCCAACAGGGTAAGCCCAGGAACATTTAACACTGCCTTCAACTAGATCCCATCTAGGAAACAACAAATGAGATCATAGGGCTGGCAGTAATCTCAAAGTCATCTGGTCTTTCCCCTAGTCCACCAGGGAGACTGCACTGAAACC